CTCACCAAGAGTTTTGGTTCAACAGATTGCAGCCAACTGTGAAGCATGGTGGTTTCAGCTTGATGGTTTGGGGAGCTGTTTGGGTTGGTGGGAGCTCGAGCTTAGTGGAGTGCGTTGGAAACATAAATTTTGCAAAATACGTCGAAATATTGGAGGAAGGACTCTTGCCACTTTATTCCTCGGGTTTCTTGGACAGGAACACAACGTTGTTCCAGGAAGATGGTATCCAGAAGTTGCCTTGGCCGAGCCAATCTCCTGACATGAACCCCATCGAAAACCTCTGGGCCATACTCGACTAGCAAGTCAAGAAACAACCAAAAAACCAACTTCGAAGAGCGATCTACTCCAAGTTTTGAAGCAAGAGTGGGTCAATTTTAGATTGTGGGATTTTCGGTGTCATGCGCAGTAAATGTACCTGTGGAGAAAGGGTTAATATAACGTTTGTTAATGACTTTGTGGAGGCAGTAACTGATAATATTATCCAGGCAGCTGCATTATTATTACTAGAAACTCAATATGTTTTCATTCTATTCATACCTCCACCTTTTTCTTCTATACTGCTCTTTACAGATAGCTCTAAATTAGTCGTGTAGGCCTAGCCATGGTTTGCTGCAAGTCTTTTGTTGGTCACTAGATCTCCTTGCAGATTCTGTGTGTAATCTCTCTTGCTCTAAATTATACACTAACTAAGCAGTTCACTATTAGACTGTAACATCTGTACTGACTTTCTTAGCTCTTCGAAGGCCTAGAATTGCTTTCTTGACTGTTCTCACTTCCTCATCACTTGAATATCCACAAATGGTTAGCTCTCTAAAATTTTCATTGCTATTAATATTCATCCAGTTTTTCTGAATTCCATGACATGTCAGTATTTGAAGGAATCTGCTCTCAACAAATGAATTTCTATTAACATCAAACCATTACCTATTACACAAATGGATTTTAAACCTACCATCAGGGTTTGGTTTTGTATCAGTTGACAAATGACTTGGGATGACCAATATTTCAACAATATTTTGCAGACTATCATTTCTTTGCTCCAAGGGAGTAACCCACCAATGTATGAGCAATGTATGTGACTCTCAAGTCACAACTGCCTACACTTTAATACCACCAGTGTTAACATTATTTTAGACATATTTTAACCTATGATATCTAAATTGACCATTTTGTTAAGTATTTATGGATAATAGGCCTTTTTAACTGTATTTGAATTTTTAACATTTAGATATGAAAAATGAAATTATAAAAAGCAAAACAAATGGTCTATTCTTACTTAATTTTTACCTTATCTTTTTATTCATTTTTATTGTGTAATTTTTTACATGTAAGAATATTTTCTGTTTTTTTACATTATCTCTACATTCCTTTAATTTTGAAAACACATTTGGTTAGCACAGACAACCTCAGAGCTTTGTGTTAATAAATTCAAACAAACAGAGATTTATTAAGGAATAAAAGTTGATAATTAACTGGAGAAATAAAAAAAAATAATTCAGACATCATACTCTCACTTGATGATAGGTTTTTAAATCAAACACAACAATGGGCTTGAATTCAACTTCCTCTAGTAACAAAAAAAGGTAATCTGATACAGTAGTCGCATTCTTATACTAGTCTTCGACATTCCCTTGTTAAAGAATGTAAGTACACAGAACCAAACCTACCTCATATAATTTAAGTTTGAAACACTAAAAAACTAACTAATAATACAACAACAACAACTGTGAACTATAATTTTATGTTGACTTAATTTTTCCATTATTTAAACTCAACTAAATTCTTAAGGTTATATTTTTTGGAATCTGACTTATCTCTGAACTATTGTTGACTTTGAATGTTACCAAACTTTATTTGTAATATTATGTTTTTGAGAAACGTTTTCTAACAATCTTGACTTGGATTTACAATTTACAGAAAGTTCTTGATTACCAAAAGATAGCAACTCAGTGGAATAAAACTTACTCAAACGACAGCATTAGGAGACCACAGTTTTAAGCATATAATTAAAAGAAATGATCAATTAATACTTACATTACAAAATAGTATAGTGAATTTTAATATTGTGTGAACGAAAGAGTTTACATAAATATAGAATTTAATTGCCACTCTGTAACATTATTTTCAATCAGCAGTGTAATCAAATATCATTTCTTCTCAACTTTGTTCAAATAATATTAATTTTTTTTTCTTTACTTAGGAACTGTAAGTCGGTATTGTAATGCAAGACAAAATCTAGCAGAATGGGAAGACCCAGATTTCTCAGGTTGCTTGGCAAAAGATTTTATAGAAATCAGAAATAGAGTATGTTGTGTTTTATATTTTGTAAATTTTATGTATATTTGTGAAATTTTAGCAGAATATGATTTGTAATGTAACAAAGGTGTATGATATTAAAAGAAGCAATGAAACATCATTGCATTCTAATAAACTTGACATATTATAAAACATGTGACAAGGATAAAAATGTTGTATACATAAAGCACTCATTAGTCCAAACTTACCTGTTATATTCACAGTACTATATCGTCTTCCCTTATTACGCTCACATTGATTTCAATCTTAACTTCTGACTCATGTATAGTAGAAAATAAACTAATGGGGAAAACTTGCCAAATTAAAATAATTTTAATCGTAAACACAAATTTTGACTCATGTATTTCAACCCTTCCTCAAATTGTATTGCTTAGACATTTTGAAATGTTATGAAGATGTTTTTCTCTTAAGAGAGTAGTTTAAACACTCAAAGCCGTGTATTTGGCATTATGGTATGTAATGAGGAAATTCCAGTATTTTATTTTGCAGTAGTAGATTAAACTTTTTTCAGAAACACTACTTTTAATATGGCAAAAATATTCAAATAGAACTATATTCTTCATAAAATTTCCATACACTTAAAGATGTCAAAATTACTTTTTATGATCATTATATTTGCATGTGCAAAAATGTTTTTATATACAACTGCAGCATCCTCTTGAGACAAAATGTAAACATCTGCCATTTTGTTGCTATTGGCCCCACTGACCTAGAATTTATGTCAGAAAAAGTATTTTTTTTTTCTAAGCATTTTAATGAAACACTGCTTGAATACTAACTCTGATATTGACTTTTGGTCATTGCTATAAGTTACTAGTCCTCCTAGTAGCAGGAATGATAAATATGCTACATATTATATTGAAATATGACATATATCTCTAAATAGTGCTAGCCTGAGGTTTTTTTTGCCACCCAAGCAAGATTTCAAAATGCTGGCCCCAACAGAACTTTTGCATCATTATCAGTGGTAAAAATATACACAGCATGGTCACAAGTAAATAGACACCACCTTTTCAGAATAAAGGAAATTTTTCAGTCATATTCACCATGAATTGATATATTTATAATTTAATTAATATCTAGTAGATCTTCCTTTCGCTTCGTGGAGTTCGTTGATCCTTTGGGGCATCATGAGAATCATCTCAAAGGTTTTAGTGTCTTACATTCAAAATTTTATTATACTACTTTTTGTTTATGTTATACCAATTACAATAGCATAAAATCTTAGCTAATAATCCATATCTTATTAGTATACAAGTTTTAAGTTCTTAATTATACAAGGAAATATATAAAAAAATCACGAATTTCCACTATTGCGATGCACATGACACATTTTGTCTTAGCATGTCATCATCCCTATTTTATCCATTACCCATCGAAAATCTACGAAATTAAATGTAAAATACTCTGTATAAAATCATTATTGCTCAAACAGACCATAGTTTTTATAGCCTTCAATTTTGTTTGGTTACAGAGCTACGGAATAGAAAATCAGACCCCTCCTGCCACACCCACTTGTCACATCCTCTCTTTTACAATTCTTTGGTAGTTCTCTCTTAAGTTTCATTATATATTACCCATAACCAATAGAAAGTCAAGGTTTTCATCTATCAAATGGCGTATTGTATAACGTTGTGTTCTGAACAGATAAATGTCAATTTCACTCAGAGTAGGAACATCGTTCCTGTGGGAAAGTTAACAACTAGTTTGGATGGATTTGTAACGGCTTTTATCGCATAGTTAGAAAGCCAAGAAGATTTTTAGAAGTAAGTGAATTTGTCTACTTTTTGCATGTTATTAGTCTATA